CCCTGAACACTACATAGCATGTGAAATGAGCACAATTGTCTTATAGTTTGAACATTCTTTGGCATCCCTTTCTTTGGAATTGGAATGAAAACTAAACTTTTCCAGTCCTATGGCCACTGCTGAGTTTTCCAAATTTGCCGTCATATTGAGTGCAGAACTTTAACAGCATCATCTTTTGGGATTTGAAATAGCTCAATTAGAATTCTGTCACCTCCACTAACTTTGTTTGTAGTAATGCTTCCTAAGGCCCACTTGACTTCACACTTTAGGATGTCTGGCTCTAGGTGAGTAACCATGCCATCATGTTTATCTGGGTCATTAATACCTTTTTTGTATAGTTCTTCTGTGTATTCTTGCCATCTCTTCTTAATCTCAACTGCTTCTGTTCAGTCCTTGCTGTTTCTGTCCTTTATTGTGTCCATGTTTGCTTGAAATTGTCCCTTGGTAGCTCCAGTTTTATTGAAGAGATCTGTGGTCTTTCCTGTCTATTTTTTCCCTGTATCTCTTTGCATTGTTCTCTTAAGAAGCCTTTCTTATCTCTCCTTGCCATTCTCTGGAACTCTGCATTAAGCTGGGTATATCTTTCCCTTTCTCCTTTGCCTTTCCCTTCTCTTCTTTTCTCAGATATTCCTTCGTAAGGCCTCCTCAAACAGCTATATGTTCCTGCATTTCCTTTTCCTTGGGGATCGTTTTGGTCATTGCCTCCTGTACAATATTATAATCCGTAGTTCTTCAGGAACTCTGTCTATCAGATCTTCCCCATTAAATGTTTGTCACTTTTACTGTATAATCATAAAGGATTTGATTTAGACTATGCCTGAATGGTCTAGTGTTTTTCACTACTTTTTTCATGGGGGAGTCTTAAAATTTTAGCAAGAATTTTAGAGGCCTAAAGAATTGTGTTTAACCCAAAGAAAACAAGAGTGAGCTAGAAAATCATCCTACTTTTCTCTTCCATTTTTTGGCAGTGCCATGTGGCATGTATGATCTTAGTTCCCCAACCAGGAGTCGAACCCACACCTCTGCATTAGAAGCACAGAGTCTTAACCACTGGACCTCCAGGGAGGTCCTGAAGCCATCCTAGTTTTAGCTTCAGTTTTTTAATGTGTATTTTAGAATATTTTTATCCAGAGTGGCCTTGTGGGTAGAAGTTATAAAGACACATATTTCATGTAAGTGTAAGAAAACAAAATAGAAGTTTTTGATGGTGGAACTGTTTGATCTCTCTGGACATAGTCAACAAAGTGTGTCTATTGCCTTTCGTTAGGACTCTCATGAGAGATTAGACACTGGGTTGATGGTGGCATGTGGATTAGACCATTTTAGTTCTCCGATTTTAGATGTATATGTTTTAGGAAATTATTTAGCAAAATAAGCTTACTGATAAATAAACTGTTTAGTTGAAACTGAATCCTTTCTATATGTAAGGTTCATATATAATTACCATAAAATGTATTTCTTGTCTCAAACAAAATTTCACTTTTGTGATGATTAACTACACAAAGTACTGCCATTGCCCAAATTATGTTCTTCCAATTAGTTATGCACACTTCATTCAGAGTTATCATTGCCAAATTCTAATGTCTACTCACCACCTCCCTGCTCATGACATAATGCTCTGCACTGATTTTAGGATAAACACACATTCTTAATATGACCTACAAAGTTCAACAAGGTCTAGCCCTACCTGCTTCTCCAGTTTTATGTTATACCATTCTCCATTTCCAGTCCAACCGTATTGGCCTACTATTAATTTCTCATGTATACAATGTGCTCCCATTTTCCGCACATCAGTTTTCATGCTGGGTTTTTTTTTTGCATAAATGTTCTTCTCATTCCTAAATGACTTCTGCTCACCATTCAGATCTCAGTTTTTTCATTTAGTCCAGAAAGCCTACCTGATCTTCCTATTTAGATCACATTCCCTGTTATATATGTGCTCATATTCTGTAGTTCTCTTTCACTGCATTGATCTCATCTCGGGGCTCTACTCTCATGATCTTGTCTAAACCTAATTACCTACCAAAGGCTCCACCTTCAAATACCATCATGATAGGGTTTCAATGTATATATTTGGGGGACACAAACATTTAGTCCATAGGAAGGACCAAACTATGTATTATTTATACATACTCATCTAAAATATATTTCTAGTTTTAAAAGTTTACACATGGAATTTTCAATTACATTTGAGACTTGCTTGCAATGCAGGAGTTCAATCCCTGGGTTAGGAATTTCCTCTGGAGAAGGGAATGGCTACCTATTCCAGTATTTTTGCCTGGAGAATTCCATGGACAGAGGAGCCTGGTGGACTATAGTTGATGGGGTTGCAAAGAGTCAGACACAACTGAGCAACTAACACTTTCACACTTTTTGAGATCTTCACAGGTAAGGTTTGAACCATGAAAGTTATGCTGCCATCTAGTGATAACTAACCTGAATGAAATTCGAAAACTAGAGTAGCAGGTTAAGCTCTCCAGGAATGGTAGAACTTGTCATCCACATGGAATGGGCTGGACACATAACTTAGGAAGACATTTCTTTTTAGTGAACATTTGAAGTAGCTGATCCTTATGAAGATCATGAATTAATAATGACTAAATAAAACAAATCTTAGCTGTAGAACACTATCCATGTAGTAAGTGGATTAGATGTTTTCCTATGATTGTGCCACTTAACTGAAATCTGTCTCCGTTTCCTTACTGTCTTGACTGCTTCTGAATGAGAGAGTTTTGTACTCTGATAACCTAATAAAAAGGAATTTTCATCTTGGTTTAAAGAACTAACCATATTCAGGAACAAACATATATGAGGAAATGAGTCCTTGGTAAAATTTCCAGTTAGATTTTGCAGCATCATAAGGAAGAAGTGGAATGCTAAAATAAGCTTCATTTATCCCAAGTAGACACTTAAAGCCACTTTGAATTAAATTACTGTGATTTAATGTAAACACAGCAATAAAACAGTTCCAGACATTCAATAAATGGTTAGAAAATACAAAATATATAAGAATTTTCTTTAAAGCACTGAACCACAAAGAAAATTTAAATAATTTATGTGTATTTCTTACGTCTTGAACATACATGATAGATTTTAGCAGATGTATTTAAGCGAGTTATTGTCCTAGGACATTAGAACTGCAGATAAAATTATCATTAAAATCCCTCAAGCTAAAATTTTCTTATATGCACATCCAGATTAAAAAGAGATAACAATTATTCTATTTCTCTGGAGGCCTAAACAACAAAAACTTATCCCTCTGAAATGATCATTTTGCTTGCAGATGTGAGAAAATTATATTTAACAATTTTTTTTTAGATAGTCCAGAGAGGATTGTTTCTCTTTGTCCATTTACTGGTATACTCATTGAACTGTATCCCTGAGGTGTTCAAACTCATGGTGGAGAAATAGCCTAACTGGAAAGATTAATTACTTTTCATATAACTCAATGAAAATTATGGCTTTCCTGACCTGGCTTCTTACCCTGTCTCCCCTTCAGGAATAATATTTCGTGTGCTGACAATAAACACTATGTAACAGAGTTGCTGTTTTGCCAGGAGTTAAGTTGGGAATTTCAGGGTCATGAGCAATTTTAAGATAAGTAAAGCATTTGACTTACACCTATTTCTTAGTTGATACCCTTAACATAAAGTAGTTTTGTGTTTATTCCAAGCCAAGTGCACAACTATGACCCCATCTCTAGTTTTTGTGTGACGCACTGTTCGCATGAAGAATGTAGATAGTATCAGACAACAGTGGATGTCAATCTAGCAGGAATTTGATTTAAAATTAGTTGCCAAAAAGTATGGGATCATACCAGAGGGGTGTGAGTCTTTGAAAAATATGTTGTATAGTGTAGTTATGATCAGCTTTGTATGAAGCACAGTTGATCTGGGATCTCTCTTGGTTCTGGGTTAGGGAAGACCTCTTTTTTTTTTTTTTTAAATATAGTATTTGCTTATTTTGTTCGTTGAGTTGCAATGTTATGTTAATTTTTTCTGTACAGCAAAGTGATTCAGTTATGCATATATGCTATACATATATGTGTATTCTTTTTCATATTCCTTTCCATTAGTGTTTATCACAGGTTATCAAATATAGTTCACTGTGCTATATAGTAGGACCTTGTTGTTTATCCATTCTGTATATAATACTTTGCATCCACTAACCCCAAACTCCCAATCTGATCCTCCCGCACTCCCCTCTGCCTTGGCCAGCATAAGTCTTTTCTCTATCTGCAAGCCTGTTTCTGTTTCATAGATAAGTTCATTTGTGTCATAGTTTAGATTCCACGTATAAGTGATGTCATATGGTATTTGTCTTTCTCTTTCTGACTTACTTCACTTAGTGTGATAATCTCTAGGTCCGTCCAGTCCAGGTTGATACAAATGGCATTATTCTATTTTTATGGCTGAGTAGTATTCCATTGTATATGGAATACTATCTTTTTTATGTGGTATCAGGGAAGCATCAGGGAAGAACTTTAGAGGAGGAGTGCTTAAGAGGAAGCCTGAAAGATGAGTAGTGTCGGTAAGGTGAAGAGCTTAAAGGCAGGTCCTAGTGTGGAAGGGAGTTAGGTGGAGGCTCAGAGTGCTCTAGAGAGTACACAATTGAAAAAGCCTTTGTTTGAAATTCTTGTTAACTTATCAGTGAACAAAGGATTCAACTCTGTACCTGTGTGGATGCACAGAATATTCTGAAACTTTAGGGCTCTTACCACGCAGAACATTATAGAAGGAGTGGAATAAGAAATTGACCTTGTCCTGAAATGATGTAATCAGGTGATGAGAACACTAGTAGAAATGAGAGGAGGCTACGTTTTTTGGCAATGCAGAAGAGAGAGAGATCAGGCTGTCTTTTGGTAAGAGAGAAGGTGGAGGGTTATTCAAGACCCGTGAAGGAGCTGGCGTTTGCCATGATTCTGCAGGCTGAGGTCGGCAGCATGTTTGTAGTCTACTTGTGTCCTTGACTGTGTTTTGACTCTTGCCTTATTTGTTCAGCTAGGATTGTGTCTAAGCAGAGCCTCTGCATCTGTTCTTAACCTCAACTGCAGCCTTATCCTCTTACCCGTGTGCCGCACGCTCCTGGCTTACCTTCGAGGATCGCAGAAGGTAAGAAAAAAGAAGTTCTAGTCACTGATTCCAGCGTAGCAATCAAGTGTAAAAGTATCGCATTAGTCCTACTTAATTTTCATGGTCTGAATTCAGACCATGGTCTGAAATTCAGGTGAGCACACTGGAGCCCCATGTTGTGCTTAGTCACTCAGTCATGTCCGACTCTTTGCGACCCCATGGACTGTAAGCAGCCAGACTCCTCTGTCCATGGGATTCTCCAGGCAAGAGTACTGGAGTGGGTTGCCATGCCCTCCTCCAGGGGATCTTCCCAACCCAGGGATCAAACCCAGGTCTCCCGCATTGCAGACAGATTCTTTACCGGCTGAACCACCAGGGAAGACCAAGAGCCCCGTGGACTTGGATTAATACACAGGATGACTGCTGGCATTGGCAGTTTCTTAAAACACATTCCTGTTTTGAGCTGTGTCAGTGACTTGAAATAGAGTTCTTGGATATGATGTGATGTCGTGTATGATATTTGAATGTGAAAGAAAGGATTTGAGAAAAGAGAAAAGCTCTTTGAAAGTTAAAAATCCAACTGAAATTGTTTTCTGTCTTGTCTTGTCCGTGTGTGTGTGTTTGTGTACGTGTGTCTTTATTGCTTTCTTCACTAAGATAGTTAGGCACTACTGCATCGATACTGATATTTTGAAAGGAGTTGTTAACATGAGGTCATATTGATGGTCTGTGAAGTTCATGTAAGTGGATTTACTGCAGTTAAAGTTCTCAATCTTTTCATGAAATTATATTTAGAAACTCTTTACTCTTAATGCAGTAATTTGTGGAAATAACACTTTCTGTAGGTTGCCAGCTAATGTGAAATGCTAGGTTTAGATCCCTGTGGCTAGCCATTGGCTTGATATGAAGAAAAAGATAAATGGCAGGAAATGGAAAGTGCCCACCTAAGTCTCTCAGCGTTTAATAAGACTTAGAGAATTGTCCCCCAGTGTGAAACATAGTATTCAAAGATGCTTGACGTTTTATTTTTGTACAAGATCAAGCAGGCATTTAAATCTATAGATTAAATTGTTTTATTTTAAAATAATCTTAGTTTTTGACCACAAAAGGAAATCACACATATTGTAAAATGAAAACACTGCAGAAATATGCAAAGTTACCCATGAAGGGTCCCCCTAATGTTGCTCTGCCAGCACAACCACAGTTTGAGAAAAATGCCTGCAAGTATGTTAACATATACAGTGCTATTAATTTTAAACAATATAGGATCAGAGTGTAGTTCATGTGTTGTAACATTTTTACCTAACAATATGTCTTGTGTGTCTTTCCATATCAATACTAAGCCTCTTCACATTCTCTCTAATGATTTGAGTGTTCCACCGACTAGAATCATTGTACTTCATCTTATCAAGGTTTTAATTGATAGACCTCTGCCCTATTTCCAAAGCTTTGTGCATGTAACTAATTTGCTGCGTCACTTTTATCATATTCAGTTTTTTTTTTAATCTAGGTTCCAAGCCGGAGAACCAGAAGATTGTTGGATAAAAGCAGAACATTCCACATAACCTGTGGTGTGACTATCTGTATTTTCTCAGGTGAGGAAAAACAAAAGATGTTAAATATTATGTTAGAACATTTTATGGATGGCATTTTTACTGTTTATGGTTTTCTTATTATGTAGCTTAGTTTTCTCTTCCATGTGTGTAAAGAAATTTATCTAGTGGTGTTACAGAAAATGGGTACGTCAGGTATGTATATATACTTGTATATAAATATATATGTGTGTGTGTATACAAAGTTTGGTCCTTAAGCTGGTACTGATTGTTTTTCTAAAAGGAAATAATTTCATTTAGTAAGATTGGAAGAAGGTGATAAAAGTTTGCAACCTCTAAAAGAAATGACATGATAGAAGTTTAAATTCTTGAAAATTAAAATGTGAAATGTGCATTCATAGGATATGATTCCTTCAAAATTATATTTGTTAAATGTTTCCTTGATATTACTACTTGGGCAGAAGAGCAAGTGTCAAAATTGTGGAAGTTTATTCTGCTCAATTCCAAGTTAAAATGTAAAGTGAGAATCTTTGATTTTTAAGAGTCATTTTAAAATAAATGTTTATCCTGAGCAAAGGTTTGAAACAGAAAGTTATAAACATTTTTATTAAGTGTGTGCATGTTGTCACTTTAGTCATATCTGATTCTTTGTGAAACTCTAGACTATCGCTTGCCAGGCCCCACTGTCCATGGGATTCTCCAGGCAAGACTACAAGAGTGGGTTGCCATTTCCTTCTCCAGGGTATCTTCCAGATCCAAAGATCAAACCTGTCTCCTGCATTAGCAGGCAGGTTTTCCACTGTAGTGCCTCCTGGGAAGCACAGGGACTCTGTCAATGGATTGTGTAGGTCTATCCCCAGCTGCCCATCTGCCCTACTGTGTGACATAATCTCTCTGATCTTCAGTTTGTTGTTAACGGTAAAGTGGATTGACAGCAGTGCCTACCTCATGGTTTTAAGAAGAAAATGAAAACATGTGTGTGAAGTTCTAGGACAGAATTAATTATTATAATTTACAACCTCATGAGTAAATTATCTCAGTGCTATTGTGTTTGTTGGCTTAGTCATTCAGTCATATCCAAGTCTTTATGACCCCATGAGCTATAGCCCTCCAGGCTCCTCTGTCCATGGGGTTTCCCAGGCAAGAATACTGGAGTGGGTTGCCATTTGTGGTAAGGGTTTGGGTTGGATTAAAGCTGGAGAGTGAAAGGTCAAAAATGGAGGATGATCAGAAAACATTGGCACATTCTTCACTTGATTTTTTCTAAGCAGTGGTTGTGTCCAAATATTCCATCAATTGGAGAACAACCTAGAGACTGAGATAGTGTAGAGTGTTGCCATGACTGAGCTTGTGATTCAGAGGGTTTGCAGTCTGCCGCTCACTAGGGCTCTGACCATAGTTAAGCCACCTTTCTTTTCTTCTTGATTTGAAGATTTTTTAAATTTTTGACTTCACTGGGTCTTCACTGCTGGGGGCTTTCTCTGTTTGTAGCAGGCCTCAGTAGCTGTGGCACATGTGGGATCTTCCAGGACTAGGGATTGAACCTATGTCCCCTGCATTGGCAGATGGATTCTTAACCACTGGACCACCAGCAAAGCCCCTTAGCTTACCCTTAGTTTTCTTATCTGTAAAATAGGGATGTATTATCTGTAAAACAGGATTAAATGAGAAAATCCACACAAAGCCCATCACTTTCTCTCTGCTGCCTAAAATCAAAAGCTGCAAATTCTTTCAATCTCAAAAACTTTTTAGGGTCTTCCCAGCTGGCTCAGTGATAAAATATGCCTGCCAATGCAGGAGACACAGATTTGACCCCTGGGTTGGGAAGATCCCCTGGAGGAGGAAATGGCAACTTACTCCAGTATTCTTGCCGGGAGAATGCCATTGACCGAGGAGCCTGGTGGGCTACAGTCTATGGGGTGACAGAGAGTCAGATACGACTGAATGACTGGGCACACACACAGAAAACCTCTTAAGGAAGGTGAATGTTATCTCTTAAGGATATCTCTCATACAGCTCTTACCTAGGGCACTTTTTTCGGGAAAATTAAAAAGAATGGTATTTCCTCTTAGGATGCCTTTGAACTTTTGAGGAGTAAAATATGTAGTGAACATGTAAGCCTTTTGTGTATAATAGAGGGATTTTTTTTTCCTATAGATTTTAGAAATGCTGAAGCTGTAGGACACAGTTTTGCTTCAATAATGTTTCATATCTATGCCATAGTTGAGTATCACCTAGACAGCCTTTATTTCTTTGGAACCCTGTCTTTTCATGTTAGCTAACCCACTTTCAATTTCCTGTCTGTTTATTTGTAGGACCCTTTTCCTTCCTTTAATCTGGGCACTGACAGCAGCATATGAATCCTTTAAATAACCCCCTAGATTATTTAGCATTCTATCCCTTCTCTCTCACTTTCAACTGTCTTTGGGAGTAATTCAGAACTCTTGGCCCACCTACATACATCTCATATGCTAGGTTGGATTGGTTGTAGAATTTTCACTTTCCAGGCCATGTCTTTTTTTGAATCACAACAGTCCTTAAAGTATAAATTGTAATGTTTTCCTAAGCAATTTTGGTTCATTTATCTTATTAAGTCTCTTATTTCTGTCATCACCATTTTACAGAAGAGTAAACTGAGGCATTAGCAGGCAAATGATGTGGGCAAGAAAGCAGGTTTTCTAACTAGTTAAATGTTGCTCTTTCCAGTACATTGTAATGTGCCATTAATTTTAACCTTATTTCATCTACAAGGAAAGCTTGAGAAGGGAGGAGGCTATTATAGTGTTGTGCAAAAAGTCATTTGCTTCTTTCTTCTCTAACCTAATAATAATTTTCTTTTTTCTGACAATGCCAAAAGGAATTTCTCTTCACTCTCTAGTAATTTCCTAACTCTTTGGTGTAAGCTCTGAGTCAGTTGACTACTCATTAGCACACCATTGTAGGCAGGTTATTAAATGGTGATTATTATCGTCCTGAGTTTTTGTCCCATGAAGTTAACTACACTTTTGCTATTGGATTTAAACACTATGTCTTGAATCTGTGGACTGTGAAAAATGTTGACTGGTTAAAAGCCTTTTCATGAGCTTTTATGTTAGGTTGAGTGTCAGTGAAGTATACAAAATATATACCAGGTTTGGTGCTATAGGAGAGGCGAAAGATTGGGAAATATATAATAGAGCAGTTCCCCCTTATCCATGGGGAATACTTTCCAAGACTTCCAGTGAATGCTTGAAATCAGTGATTATATATCCTGTATGTAGTGTTTTTTCCTATACAAACACACCTGCAATAAAGTTTAGTTTATAAATTAGGCACAGTTAAAGATTAGCAATAATTACTAATGTTACAATTGTAACAATATGCTATAATAAAAACTAAATGAATGTGATCCTCTTCTCTCTCAAGGTACCTTATTGTACCAGTTAAATGCTCTTCCATCTTAACTGAATATGCACTGCGGCTGGTCACTTCTGCAGTTTGGGGTGTAACAGCAGAGTGAGCACAAAATCCTTTTTTCTCTCCCGTTTCTGGGATAGACGATTCCCTCTTGCTGTGGATCTCAGCACCGTCAACATGGGGAACTTCTTTTCCTCATTAAGTCAGAAACGTTCTCCTTTTCACTTAAAGAAATGTTCACCTTTTCACCTTTACAGCTTCCTATGGCGTATCTGAATTGCTGGCATCACTACTCTTGTCGTTTGGGGCCATATTAAATAAAACAAGGGCGACTTAATCACAAGTACTGCAGTATCTCAGACTGTGGATCTGATAACCAAGCCCGTTACTCAGTGGCCAACGGGTGGGCTGTGCTGGACTAAGGGATGACTCGTGTCCCAAGTGGGATGGAGCGGGACAGCCAGAGATTTCATCACACTCAGGACAGCATGCAATTTAAAACTTATAAACTGTTTATTTCTGGAATTTTCCACTGAATGTTTTCAGACCACAGGTAACTAAAGCTGCAGATAGTGAAACAATGAGTAGGGGGGGGTAGTTACTGTATTCAGGAGATGCTTAAGTGAATAAATAAATTCCTGTATTATTATACACATATGTGTGCGTGTGTGTGTCAGTGTGTGTTGGTGTATTTCTAACTCTTGACTTATTAGGGTTATTTTATTTCGGCTTTTGAAAATTCTGTTTCTTTACATTATTTCTCATGCTAAAACTGTGTATAAGTAAGATTCTTTGTGCTTTTAAGACTTCCCTTTTAACTGAACATTTTATTGCCTACATGGTTGTCAAAGTGTGACCCTGTGTTTGTGTAAGGAGAGGAACCAACTCCCCTTTATTGAGAATATCTGAAAACCCCACTGACTGGTGTGATTCTGTAGGTGTGCACGTGGCCGCCCACCTGGTTAATGCCCTCAACTTCTCAGTGAACTACCGTGAGGATTTTGTCGAACTGAACGCAGCAAGATACCGAGAGGAGGTGGGTGGCCTCTGTCTTCTCATTTTCCTTTCACTTGTCGTGAGATGACTAATGAGGGTCTGTGATTTTCGCAGAAAATTTGTACCTTGCTGCTCCTTTTGAGTGCTTTTAAAATGCACTTGTCAAGTTGAGTTTTATTCCTTTTCAACAGAAAATATATGTAATTACTATTTCACAGTCTCTCCTGCTGAACCTGAAAGTTCGGAGAGTGTCTACTTATTGCGTTCTGCGGTGTTCACATGGTTGCCACTCAGGCAGCCTTCTGCCTCCCAACAGTTTTGTCTAATTCCCATCACTCAGTGGAGGCTATTGGCAGTGCCAGCACACGGTAAAAATCCTCCAGGAACTCATACTCTGCTTGAGGAGGAAAAGGGCAGAATAGAAAGTTGACTGATGATCCTAGACCATTAGTTGATTTGACTTAAAAATATTATTGAATTTTAATGCTTTACTTTGTTTTATTTTGTTTTGTAATCCTTATAATAGGTGACCTTGGGCTAAATTCTATAGGGGGCACTATCTAACTTAGGGTTGCTCTTCTCCATGTGAAGCTGCCCATAAAGTGAAATTATATGTGCAGGGAGCCCAGGTGGACCAAGAAACAGAATGTGCACAGCCCTAGTTAGGTCCCTGTTGCTTGACACTCTCACGGTGACCTCGGGCTGCCTTTGGTTCCCAAAGCCAAGACTGCATCAACACCAAAATGTTCAGGGTCCCATGTGATCAGAGCCCCGCCCTGTTTTGCTCAGTTTGGTAGTGACTTAATAGATTGTTCTCCTCACTCCGTCTTCCCCTTACATATCACCAGAGTTCTCTAGATTCATACCACTGATCATGTGCTTGACCTCCCTCCCAAGACAAATCAAAGGCCAAAGTAATGACAAACAAACACGGACATAAATCATTAAACCAAAATAACAAGTAGCCCTAGATAAATCCCTTAACTATACTAGTATCTTTTAATATACCAGTGTGATTTTGTTGACCTGGGTTAGAGGCAGCCCCTAATATTTTTTACTGCTGAGCAATCTGTATGCAGGTCAGTTTCACTTCTGAGAAATCTATATACAGATCAAGAAGGAATAGTTAGAATCGGGCATGGAACAACAGACTGGTTCCAAATTGGGAAAGGAGTACATCAAGGCTGTATATTGTCACCTTGCTTATTTAACTTATATGCAGAGTACCTCATGCGAAATGCCAGACTGATCGAAGCACAAGCTGGAATCAAGATTACCAGGAGAAATATCAATAACCTCAAATACACAGATGATACCACCCTTGTGGCAGAAAGCGAAGAGGAACTAAAGAGCATCTGGATGAAAGTGAAAGAGGAGTGTGAAAAAACTCCTCAGCATTAAAAAAATGAAGATCATGGTATCTGGCCCCATCACTTCATGGCAAATAGATGGGGAAGCAATGGAAACAGTGACAGACTTTATTTCCTTGAGCTCCAAAATCACTGCAGATGGTGACTGCAGCCATGAAATTAAAAGATGCTTGCTCCTTGGAAGAAAAGTTATGACAAATCTAGACAGCATATTCAAAAGTAAATGACATCACTTTACTGACAAAGGTCTATATAGTCAAAGCTATGGTTTTTCCAGTAGTCTTGTATGGATGTGAGAGTTGGACCATAAAGAAAGTTGAGCGCTGAGAAACTGATGCTTTTGAACTGTGGTGTTAGAGAAGACTTCAGAGTTCCTTGGACTGCAAGGAGATCCAACCAGTCCATCCTGAAAGAAATCAGTCCTGAATATTCATTGGAAGGACTGATGCTGAAGCTGAAGCTCCAATAACTTGGCCACCTGGTGCAAAGAACTTACTCATTGGAAAAGACCCTGATGCTGGGAAAGATTGAAGGAGGGAGGAGAAGGGGACAACAGAGGATGAGATGGTTGGATGGCATCACCGACTCGATGGACATGAGTTTGAACAAGCTCTGGGAGTTAGTGGTGGACAGGGAGGCCTGGCGTGCTGCAGACCATGGGGTCGCATAGAGTCAGACATGACTGAGCAACTGAACTGACGTTTTTTAAAAAGCTCACCAGGTGATTGTAGAGTTATGTGCTGTGCTTAGTCACTCAGTCATGTCCAACTCTTTGCGACTCCATAGACTGTAGCCCACCAAGCTCCTCTGTCCTTGGGGAGTCTCCAGGCAAGTATAGTGGAGTGGATTGCCATGCCCTCCTTCAGGGGATCTTCCCAACCCAGGGGTTGAACACAGGTCTCCTGCCTTGCAGGAGTCTATCTGGCATGAAGAACCATGGAGAAGTCCAGCTCCTTAGCATGCCAGTGGAAGCTCCGCATGTAATGATTTCATCCCAGAGAGATCCCCGTACCTCTCCCTATCTTCCATCACTTGCCCTGGTCATATGGGGTTACTTGTATCTTAATGAAAATTCTTTTTTAATCTTTTCCTTCTTTCCTTCTCTCTTCTGCTTTATAATTCATATGTCTTCAATAACTGTAATGATTTAATCATTTTATTTTAATATACTTTTTCTTAAGATGCCAGTATTCTAGTCATTTTAGGATTTCTAGGATTTTAGGATTAAATTTATTTCAGTTTAAGAGACATAGAGGCTTAATGTAAAAACATTTTAGAACTCCCAAGTAAGTGGAAAGTGAAAGCTTCTCCTCCAAAAATAGCCACAGGTAATGATTTTATGTTTTCTTCTTTTGAGTGGTATTTTATGATATATATTCTTTAGCAATAGCAATTTGTAAATATATGTATTGTGACTTACTGTATCAGAAAGTATACATATACCTCATCTTCTTCATACAAATATACCATAATTTATTTTTAGTCATCTTCTTATTCACGAATGTTGAGCTGATTCCAGGTTTTTGTCATAAATTGCATGCTAATAAATTTATTTTTTTTTGTGCAGTTCTGCTAGGCAGATTTATAGAAGTAATTTTGGTTTCAAAGGTACACACATTTTTAGTTTTGTTGGACAAATTACTTTCCAAGAAACCTTCACCAGTTGATACACTGTACCAATTTTATTGCAATGCTTATTTTTACACCTCACTTGTTTCTTAAAAAATACTGCTGGTAAGATGGATGAAAAATAGTAATTCATTTTAATTTACATTTTCCTTCTTTTCCCCATCTTTCCTCCCTTCCTTTGCTTCTTCAGTCATGTCTTTCTCCCCTTCTTCTTTCTTTTAATAAATATTTTTGAGTGCCTGGTAGGTATCAGGCCATGTACTAGATTAAGATGAAAAAATACACACACATTCACAGAGAGATAATACATATATGAACAGTTGTATTCTTCTGTGACTTGTCTTTGGAAAGGATGCTTTTGTGTTCTTGCTGTGTGCTTACACTCTTGTTTTCTCCACGTCCCCAGGGACCCCTTCATTCTCCAGTTTGTGATGGGTGGCACATTCCTAATGCAATAGCTCAGTTGGCCTCATCTTGTCATCTGTGAAACAGTCTCTTACTCTTATACCCCGTCTTCATTCCCTAGCAGTTTTATTCATCTTCTGAGGTTTCCTAGCTAATTATTCATATTTCTGGTATTACCACTTTGTTCAGTCTATCTTGTGTTTTTCCTAGTTGTTTATGTATTAGGTTCCTCAGGATTATGGGCCTCCCTAGTAGTTCAGACGGAGAAGGAAATGGCAACCCACTCCAGTGTTCTTGCCTGGAGAATCCCAGGGACGGTGGAGCCTGGTGGGCTGCCCTCTATGGGGTTGCACAGAGTCGGACGCGACTGAAGTGACTTAGCAGCAGCAGCAGTAGTGGTTCCAATGGTCAAGAATCTGCCTGTAATGCAGGAGACCTGGATTCGATCCCTGGGTTGGGAAGATGCCCTGGAGAAGGGAATGACTACATGCTCCAGTATTCTTGCCTGGAAAATTTCACGGACAGAGGAGCCTGGCGGGCTACAGTCCGTGGGGTCACAAAGAGTCAGACACAACTGAGCAACTGACACTTTGATACTCTAGCCTTTAGTCCTGTTTTTAATGCTATGTTTCTAACTAGAAGCCATTGAACCTAAGCTGGATGAGGAGCTATTTTTGGGCAAATGGTCCTTATTGAGGGTCCCTGAAATTATTTAAATGGCTTCCTACTTTGTATATAGCTTGGTCTGGCCACAGATTCAATGGAGACATGAGAAAAGTAATTCATAAGTTGTACAGTATTAGGCCCCTTTGGATAAAAAATTAATCCACATTCTACTGGGCATTGATCTAAGATTTCCAGAAGAGAGAAGGGAATTGATTTCAGTTCATTATACCATGGGGATATAGTTTAAAGGAAATATTCCAGTAACAATATTAATGTATTTCTAACTAGAAGGAAGCTGTCTTCCTTATTTGAATATTATCACTACTTTTCACAGTAGCATTTGAAACATTTTAGTTCTCAGTATTCTCTGCATTGAATTTGCACAACATAACCCCCTCCATATATTTTATTACTTTTTTGATTCTCACTGTTTTGACACTTGCTAGGTGCAGTTGCCTGGAAAATCCCACGGACAGAGGAGCCTGGTAGGCTACAGTCCATGGGATTGCAAAGAGTCAGACATGACTGAGCGACTTCATAGGTGTAGTTGGCAGTTGTAGACAGAGCATATATTAATGTTTCCACATTATAGCTAAAAGTATTGAATCCCAGAATGATCAAAGGGTGGGCTTCAGGCCACTCCTGCTATCCTATAATTGACCATTAAGATGAAAGCTTGGACCTTCTGACTCCTCATCCAATATTCTTCCCTTTTCAAATGGATACGTTCCTTGGAATTGGATTTTGTATGTTTGATAATCTCCTCTGGGCTTCTCTGGTGGCTCAGACAGTAAAGAATCTGCCTGTAAATTAGGATACCTGAGTTCAATCCCTGGGTTGGGAAGATCCCCTGGAGAAGGGAATAGCAACCCACTCCAGTATTCTTGCCTGGAGAATTCCATGAACAGAGGAGACTGGTGGGCTACAGTCCATGGGGTCACAAAGAGTAGGAAATGACGGAGCAACTAACACCACCACCACCATAATCTCCTCTAGCATTGTAAAAACATTATGAAACTTAATTGAATCTGTTATTTCCATTGGGAGGATAGTTTCCTACATGCCTAACACATGGCTCTTATCGCTCACAGACTCCTTGCAGAATTTTGTGTTCATCAGTGTTTTATTTTTCAGCCATTTTTTTTTCTTTTTTTTTTCAGGATCCTAGAAAACTGCTCTTCACAACTGGTAAGTTGTTATCACTGCAGCTTCTATACTGTGTTTATATATATGCCAAAATACCACATGGGAAATGTTCATGTCAAACAATTGTTCAAGCATAAGGTTTCAATGAAACCAAAGGGCCAGGGCGAACCACTAGGGTTCAAAGGAATGAAGAGTAAAATTAAGCAAATGTATTTGCCTTTCATATATTTTTTTCAATGGAAATTACATAAGACCATGGGCTTAGGAGTGGCTGCCATGTGCCCGCTGTTATGACAAGTACTATTGGAGATAATACAGAGGGAATGAGTTTTTGTTTTTGAAGTTTTGGAGAAAAAACACCAAGCACTCTGAGTATCAGTGTAGTTCTTAATATTTAGTAATTTAGTAGGACATTTTTCTGATCTTAAAACCTATAAGGAAGAGGAGAAACAGTCGCTAAAATAAGTAAACATGTTGTCCATAAAATCTCAGTCTAGACTATTTGTTAAAGTGCATTTGAACATCTCAGAATTTGGCCCTGGTGTTAGTACAGTTCTAGTTATTTTTTCTCTGTCTCAATCTTACATTTATAATAATGAAAAGGAGACTGTATGTGGGGGATTTTTAGCACCTGTTTCAGAGACATGATGATTGTGGATGGGAGGTGGTCTGTCATAGAGTCTTGGCTGTACTACCTCATTAAGGATCAGAATTGCATACGGGACTGAGACATGGCTCTGTCAAATGCATTGTTTCTTTTTTCATCAGTCTTATGAAGAAAAATAATAATTCAGGTGTTTTCCCTTTCATGCCACATCTACATATTTATAATATATATTTTCTGCCTATACATTATAATTTTTTTCCATTTGCAAAGTACATATTTCACAGTTTTCTCCTTAGGAACACCATTTAGTTTTGTTTACAACTTTGCTCATTGAAAACATGTTTTTATTAAAGCATTAAGAATTGGATGAGAACAGAATGGAGGAAAAGCAGAAAAATAAAACCTTATGTATGAGTCAATGTATTTTTTGGTTCATATGGATCAATTTAAGAGAAATAAATAAGAACTTTGTTTTAATATTCTTTTACTGCGTAGAATATAGATGAAACATTAGAAATGCTTTAAAAAGTTTAGTTTATAAAAACATAAAAAATCTCTTATATGACAAAGATATTACATTAAGAAACTTAGTAAAATTAATGCTTATAAGTAGGTGATCTCTACCCCTAACATGAAATTCCATCATCCTGTATTCTTTCTCAGAAGTTCCTATGAGTGTGTTGGGCAAAATAGAGGTAATGTTATACTTAAAAACACAAATTCCTGGTTTCACCCTAGAGAGAGACCAAGTTGGGACCTGGCAATGTGTTTTATTAACCTTCCCAGTACTGTTTTACCTTTACTGAGCATCTGATTATATTCCTGAGCATAACTTCTCACCACTACCTACCTTTTACCTCCTCTCTTACTCTCTTTTCTTCACCTGTTCAACTCTCACTCATCCTTTAAGTGTCAGTTGACATACCCCATTATGCACAGATTTCTCCCTAATTCTGCTAAGCAGAGCTGATCCCTTCTTGGCTTGGGCCCCTAAAGATACATGGTAAAATACTATGAATAATTGGCTTCCTTCCATATACTGTAGAATAATTTATTACCTACGTATATGGTGTTTTCCACTTGAAATCAGTTTCTTCACAGTGGAACAGGGCCACCCGCAGAGCATGCAGAGAAAACATTTTGTGGAGTTTCTCTCAATACAAGCAACTTGAACTGCCCCAGATCAGCATGTCGGTATCACTTTGGTGGCCCAGTTCCATAAAATTTGATGAAAGAAATGCTATACTTTTCATCAAGTGCCATCTATTTCCCAGGAACACAGACCCAATCCCCCTAAATATGATGCTAAAGCTCCTCTATGGTATTTTGACTCACTAAATAAATGTTAGAAACATTCCAATTAAGAACTTATAGAAGAAATTTAATAGATTGAATTATTCAAACGTTTAAAAATGCATGCTACATATCTCCAAATTTGGTAGTACTTGTATGATGAGAATAAAATGCTCAATATCCAATTTCAATTAGAAAAACCCTTATAAACAAACACAGTTATGTCTCCAATTATCTTGGTAAAAACAGGATGATGAATACAAGATGGTATATTTCTGACTACATCTGGGTAGGGATGAAAATGATCTTTCAGTTCATCTATAAATGGCAATGTAGTGCAGTCATTCATTTTACGGGCTACTAATTAACCTAATATGCATAGATCAAAAACAATAAGAGTAAACATAATAAACCCTTTTTTCCCTAAGAAAACAAGTATAGATTTTGCTTTAAAACTTGAAGACTGAGAGTTCACAGTGTACTTCTTTTGCTAAGTGACTGCCCAGTGAACTTAGACTAGTCCAATACTTTCTAATGTGTGCTTCCTGACTCTTGGGATATGTGTGGTAATAGAGGCTAATTTATTGGGACTTGGCTGAGCTATTATCCAAGGCTAGGTTAGGATGCCCTTTGATGTACCTTGAAAATACTCAGTGTCTGGCTCTCTTTGCACTTAATACCTTACGTTGCAGTTGTCTGCTTATTGTGTCTCCCACACTGGACTGAGATTTCTTTTAGAGCACAATTCATTTTTACTCTAGCACTTGACTGTGCAATACAGATGCCCAGAAAGTAGTCCCTGAATGGATAAAAGTCATTTTCTTGGCCTTTTTTAAAGGGAGCATAATTGCTTTATAGTGTTGTGTTAGTTTCTGGAAAGGGTGTGGAGACAAGGGAACCCTCTTGCACTGCTGATGGGAATGTAAATCAGCCACTATGGTGGCTCAGATGGTAAAGAATCTGCCTGCAGTGAGGGAGACCTGGGTTCGATCCCTGGGTCAGGAAAATCCCCTGGAGGAGGGCTTGGCTACCCACTCTGGTATTCTTGCCTGGAGAATTCCATGGACAGAGGAGCCTGGTGGGCTGCAGTCCATGGAGTCTCAAAGAGTCAGAAACAAATGAGAGACTAACACTTTCATGGAGAACAGTGTGGAGGTTCCTTAAAAACTAAAACTAGAACTATCATATGACCCAGCAACCCCACTACTGGGAGTGGTGGTGGTGTAGTTGCTAAGTCGTGTCCAACTCTTGTGACCCCGTGGACTGTAGCCTGCCAGGCTCCTCTGTCCATGGGGATTCTATAGGCAAGAGTACTGGAGTGGGTTGCCTGTTCCTTCGCCAGGGGATCTTCCCCATCCAGGAATCGAACCCGCATCTTGTGCATTGCAGGCAGATTCTTTGCCAACTGAGCTATGACGGAAGCCCACTAATAAGTATAGACCCTGAGTAAGCCATAATTCAAAAAGACCCATGAGGGGAAGAATGTACCACTGCTGCTGCTGCTAAGTCACTTCAGTCGTGTCCGACCCTGTGCGACCCCATAGATGGCAGCCCACCAGGCTCCCCTGTCGCTGGGATTCTCAAGGCAAGAACACTGGAGTGGGCTGCCATTTCGTTCTCCAACGTGTGAAAGTGAAAAGGGAAAGTGAAGTCGCTTAGTCGTGTCCGATACGTAGCGACCCAATGGACTGCAGTCTACCAGGCTCCTCTGTCCATGGGATTTTCCAGGCAAGAGTACTGGAGTGGGGTGCCATTGCCTTCTCCAGGAAGAATATACACCTATGGGTAATTCATGTTGATATATGACAGAAATGAAACCAATTTTGTAAACCAAACAGTCGATTAAAAATAAATAAATATTAAAAAAAGACATACATACCCCAGTGTTCATTGCAGCACTATTTATAATAGCCAGCACATGGAAGTAACCTAAATGTTACAGATGAATGGATAAAGAAGTTGTAGTATATAATATATACAATGGAATATTACTCAGCCTTAAAAATGAATGAAATTGGGTTATTTGTAGAAAAGTCATTTGTTTTTACACTTTTCTACTTGTTACATAGATATTCTCTGCAACATTCTAGATAATTTGTAGGCCAGTCTCTGTTTAATTCCAGTGACAGAAAATCTTAGCTTTTTTAAAACTGAAGTATAGTTAATTTTCAATGTTGTGTTAGTTTCAAGTGTATAGGAAAGTGATTCAGTTATACATGCATATATATGTGTGTGTATATGTATATATGTGTGTTTGTGTATATGTAATATATATTTTTTTAGATTCTTTTCCACTATAAGTTATTACAAGATACTGAGTATAGTTCCTTGTGCTATGCAGTATGTCTTTGCTGTTTACTTATTTTATATATAATAATGTACATATATTAATCCCTAAATCCTAATTTATCTCCCCCGCTCTCTCCTCTTTGGTTTTTAAGTTACCCATCCCGCCACTTTTTTGGACCACTTTGATTGTAATTTTTTTCTTCTCATTGCTAATTATAAGTCAGTTTTTCTTCTTCATTGCTATGAAGTCTATTACTTTATAAAATGCAAACTCTGTAATTTTTGTACTTCTGGAAGAGAGAAAGGAAAAATGAATTCTTTTGAAAAGAAAGATAACTTCTTAAATCTGAAAGAATATTAAAAAGCATTGAATTGATTCTCCTTAGTTTACAGATGCGATTCAGTGAGATTGGGATTTGGCTTAAGGGATAGTAATAGGGCTATAATTCCAGGATATACACATATGCCCTAGGTTATTTGAGGCTTCTATTTCATCTTGATTTCAAATGTGAGGTCAACTATTTCACCCTAAGTCTTTCTAATGTGTTTTCCATGGTCTGCTCTAAAAGGAATGCTCGAGTTCAATGTTTGGGGAAGTATTTGTTCAAATTTAAGCTGGTTTCTTGACTTTAGTACCTCTCAGAAAATTTACATTAATGTGCCCTGTGATTCTTCAAGGAATAGTTATAGCATTTTTGATCACTGGAAATTAATACCTAAAGGAATTGATGTTCAAATAATACCCTTTGGAACTTATACCTCTATTCTAAACATGCTCCATTTTTTCAGGTGTCCTGATGAAGTGATTTGCAGACATTCTAAAACTAATTTAGGCACGTTTAGGACTATATACAGGAAACCTTGTATGTAGACACAGTAGACATTCATGAAGCCTCAATGAAATTACTTGAAAGGCCTCTCCAACCACAAATTTCACATTATAGAGCCATCTGGCATTCTATCATTTATTTATTCATTTGGGCAGATATGGAATTTTTAAATTACTTGAAGCCAGAGAGATGGACCTTCTCTCTTTTTTCTTCTTTAAATTTGAGTTATAACTGAAGTACTCTAAATTATACATATGTAAAGTATTTTATTTGATCACTTTTGACATATGTATATACGTAAGAAACCATGATCAAAATCAAGATAACAAATAAGTCCATCATTCTAAAAATGTTTTGTGATCTTTTGTAATGCATCCTGCTGTCTACCCCTCCTAGTATGGATCTGCTTTCTACCACTAAAGAATGCTTTGAATTTTCTAGAATGTTGTATAAAAGAAATCATAGAGCTTATATTCTTTCAGGGTTCTTTGGGGGGGAGTCTGATTTTTTCACTCATAGTAATAATTTTGTGGCTCATCTGGGTTCATATGCATAGGTATATGTCATTTTTTTAAACTGCTGATTAATTTTTCAGGCACAATAAATAATGATTTATTCATCCATCTGTTGATGGAGATTTGAATTGTTTATAGGCCTTGAGTATTAAAGTGGTTAATGAATATTTTTGGACAAGTTTGGGGTGGATATGTTTGTGTTTTGAGGGGATAAGTGTTTGGAAGAAGAAAGGCTTGGTCATTTTGTAGGCCTGCTGTTCTTTTTAAATAGTGCTATTAATCCTTTCATGTGAACTAGTGTACTTATCTTGCTCTTCTGTTACCCCTAGGAGGTAAAGCAATGGGAGAGACAATAGGAAAGGGAGTGCCCTATGAAAGAAGTTAGAGGGCAGATGATTTGGATTGGGACATCAGGGAAAGGCAAGTTTTGTTAGGCTTCCAAATCTGTGTCCTGGGAAGAGTGAAAAGGAGGGCGTACTCAAGTATTAAGTCCTATAGACTGACTCCTTATTTCTCACGTTGCCCTTTACAAGTGGAAACTTATCTCTACCGTATTGGAATTTCCAGTATTATTTTCCAACCATCCTACACCCTCTGTGATCCTAATGATGCATATCAGCATTGCCCTGGTATCGCCCCCAGCTTGTTTGCTTCTGCTGATGGCTCTCGTTCCCTGATGGGCCTTCTGTTTCGTAGGTGCTTCCTTGTCAAGAAGAAGAGTGGGGAGGTGTCTATACTTTTGGAGACAGAATTGTTTTCATTCCTTTTCTAGAAAGATTTGAGATGGACTTTCTTAGCTAGGTCATTTAGTACTTATTGTTGCTCATATGATTTTTAAGAGTAAATAAAGGTAAATTATAGACAATATTTTATTTGATAGTAATAAGATAATAAGAAATTAGACTACTGTGATTTTTCACTCTTTGATATAGCATATCACCTATCCATTTTGGATGTCCTCTATGAGCTAACACTAGGTTTATAGCAATCTATTAAACCAGTATTATTTTTGTAAAATGACATGTTTGCACGCTTTCTTTTTAAGAACAAGTGTTATGTTATATCAGAAACACTGATTTTAAAATGTTTTCCATTCTAAGGGGGATTATGTCTGAGAGTATTCTTAAAAAATCAGCATTGTAACTTTTTTCTTCACTTTCACCATGTTTTGTTCTACACTTGAAGTTCTGGTTTTTAGAAAGATTCAGGTTTTGCTTATTTTTTCTGGAAATTTTTTCTAGATAGTGAAATCCAAAAGAAATTATTTGACATTGACTCTGATGGAGAAAACCAAAACAGTTAGGATGTTGGATGTCAACTGTGTTCTGTTGCATTAGTTATTGATGTTTGCTATAGTGTGTTCCTGTAAAAGTATGAATGTAGTCACCATTCTGATTGAAATATTTGAAAATACCAAAAGGGACTTTTCTGTTAAAGGTGGAAAAGATTCTACTCTGTCTTAAGTACCTTGAAACTAATGCTAATTTAAAAAAAAAAAGTTTTTTTTGACAGAGAACATGCTAGGAGATAGATGATTTCAATTAGGCTTCCCACAGAGCAGCCTAGTACTTTGAATTTTAAGGTAATAATTTTTTGTACCTTTTTTCTCAGTATGACTTAAGTTAAAATGTACTTATGTATATTTTTATAGTTCCTGGCCTGACAGGAGTCTGCATGGTACTGGTGCTGTTCTTGATGATTACAGCTTCAACATATGCGATACGGTGAGTGTCAGAGCCATTATTTTGATGTTTCTTGGTCAGACTATTTAGATTTCCTTCAGATTATCTTCATTTTCATATGTAGAAAGTATCTTGATTAACCCAAATGCTTTCTTGATGCAGTATTCTGGTTCCTCTGTAACTAAAAGGGAAATAGAGACATTTCTACATATAATTTCCTGTTTCGGAAAAATCTTCCAGTCAAATTTCTGAGTGAGAAGGATTTGAGTATGGGGACGTTTCAAGTAAATATTCCCAAGTGGAATAAAAGGAAGATGTGGCTTACTAAACATTAAAAAAATATGCCTCAATAACTTAGAATAGGGCATTGCTATGATGTACACCTGAAACTAATATAATATTATCAGAAAACTATACTTTAATTAATAAAAACAGAATAAGACTTACTTGCAAAAATGACCAAGGCCTTGAATTAAGTGATAGTTGGTAGAAAGCCTTGAAGAGGACTTGGCCATATGTGAGAACCTGCCAAGTCAATAAGGTGCCATTACAAGCTTGTGAGGAAAGGAAGGCTTAAGTGAATGAAATTCTAGCTCAGTGACAAAGTTAACTGTGAAAAATTGCACCACTGAAGATCTGGAGGAAACTTTAAGTTATATTTATCAGTGCTCATAATCGACAAGGGGAAGTATAGGAAATATTTAGCCATCTAAAAATATGAAAACTAAAACTCCTGAATGTCAATATACATATAAAAATTGGAAAGTAAACATGTTACTGGGAAAATTATTACACCTACATGGAGCTTTGCATGCTTGTTAAGCTGCTTCAGTCGTGTCTGACTCTGTGAGCCTGTGGACTGTTGCCCACCAGGCTCCTCTTCCATGCTTCAGGAAGGAACACTGGAGTGGGTTTGCCATGCCCTCCTCCAGGAGATCTTCCCGACCCAGGGATGGAACCTGTGTCTCTTATGTCTCCTGCATTGACAGGCGGGTTCTTTACCAGCAGTGCCTCCTGGGAAGCCCTGCTATGGAACTAGTATGTTCTTAAATTTGAATAGGTTTACTTGCAACAGTTAAGAAATATGCTGTAGAAATGGGTAATTACTGTGAACAGGTAAGTGACAGAAGAATTGAAAGCAAGTAACACACAAATGAAATAATACCCTATTCCAAGATACTGGAGATGTATGAAGTCAAGTCTGGGTTTGGGGAGACGGGCACTCCTACTTCTATGATTGGGTTCTTGATTGATAAACATGTTTTATAGAGCAATGGGGAGTGTATATCAAAAACCTTACACAGTGTGTGTCCTTTGATGTAATTCCACTTTTAGAAATTTAGATTAAAAAAATCAGATCTATGCAAGAAAGTTTATGTTATAAGGGTGTTACGGATCTTGTTTGTGGTAGCAATCTGTGACTGGAGTAGATGTGACTATATTGGTTATTGCCTAAACTGGGGGTTCTAAAAGGTTTTGGGGGTTGTATGAGAATCATCTAAGCTTTTTTCAGGTAGCTTCCCTCCACCTCTAAGAGTCTAATATATGAACATCCACTCAGGTATATGAAATAAGTAACTGGTAGTCTTTTTACTTCTTTCAAGCATTTTATAGGCTGTGTTGATTATACCCTTCCCTTTTTAAAATCTTGGTCTTCCCCCAGGGCAGTAACACAAGGTTTTAAAGTTATGTACTGTCTAGAAAAATCATATAAAATTTTGATGAGCATTTATTTAATTCATCTCCATCTGAATTTCCTTTGAACTACTCTCAAAATACATATTAGGATAGAAACATTAGTTGTTTTTAAATCATTTGAAAATTGAGACTATTGATAGATAAAGGCAGCAGTAGTACACATTAGCAGACTGTTGCCTGCTCCTTAGCCTTACATCATAATAATTTAAAAATAAACACCTGATTTTAATTTTTTCTGTGTATCTTTATTTGAAATGCAAATAATCTTCAAGATGATAAAGTGTTGCTTATAATTTCTTCAGTTTTCTGCAATGGTATGCTAATATGTTGATATTAATAGATAAATCTCAGATGAACTCATATTTCAACTTTCAGTAGTGACATGTATTTGAAAGGACGCTTGCTTGTTTTATAAAGATGGAGTAGGAAGTGAAATTGAAATTAAGTTATTTTTTTTTTCAGAGTTTCTAACTATGACATCTTCTGGTATACTCATAATCTCTTCTTTGTCTTCTACATGTTGCTGATGTTACATGTATCAGGGTAAGTTTAATAACTGTTTTAAAAACCACATGTGCTTTAAAATGGGGTGATGAAAGATAAGTCTATAGAAATTTTCATAGGAAATGGCGAAATTGTTTGCTTACTGGAATTGAGGGTAGTGTCGAGTGGGATGAATTGTTCTATTTTGGACGTAGCATGTTTTAATGAAACTAGCCTAAAAGTATATTAAAATGGAAAGACAAAATTACTTCTCCCACAATGTTGTAGATTTTAAAGCCTTCTCTAATTATATCTTTTCTTCTAATTTTTTAAAAAAAATTTCATTGGAAGGGATATATGTATACTATTGTAGTTATATCTTGATAAACTTTAAAAGAAAATGAGCAGGAAGTGAAGAACTTCAATGTATTTAATGTTTGAATTTTCAGGAATTCCTTATGTTTTGCTGTTACAGAGTTTATAACAATGGAGTTACCAATTTTTAGTTTAAGAAGTCCTAGGGGCACTAGTATTTGCAGAGAAAGCCAAGGATTTACAAGGACCAAAGAAAAACATCTGTGAAAAACACCAGAAAATCACAGAGGGAAAAGCTATAGCTTCCAAGTGGTTACAAAGAATATACCCCAAATACTCTGAAATGTACATGGACCCAAGCAGTATACTCAAATGTATGGTGCTTAAAATAATTCATTATGTGTATGTACATACACATTACTTTTTGTGTATGTACATGTCTGTATGATCACCATAGTGGATCTGTGGTTTTAACACACACACTAGTATGACACTATTGTTCAGCACCAGATTCACTTGGTTTAGTAGAAGGATACAGGACCGGAAATAGAATGTCAGCAGGATAATGTCAGATGCTTCTTCAGTGGGAGTCCCTCTAGATGTTCAGGAACCGTTTTCTACCTTCTCTGCATTACCTCCTATGTAGTAACTGAGTTTTAAGATGAGATCATAAGGGCTACTTCGCCTTGGGGAAAGCTTGTGCTCCACGGGAATCAGCCTCTTGATGACGATCCAGCTTTCCTAAAGGGATGCTCTCGGTTGCTAGCACACACTGCATCAGGAAGCTGAGTCAGCATCCTCCTTGTCCAGATGTGTTCCTTCGGTAACAAACATTGCTGACTGGTAACACAGCTGTCACTTCTTGTTTGTCATAACCCGAATGTTTCCAGGGAGACAGTATGTGGAGGAAAGTTCCGGCCTGCTGTTAATTTTTTCTTCAGAATGTTTTATAATATACTTTCTCAGTACAGTAAATCTTACCCATAAATGATACACTTATCTCAAGCTGCATGTTCAAAATGTTTTTCCTCTAATTTGGGAGGCGACTGGTTTAGATGTCAGCATTTTATGGAACTCTGTCTCCCATGTCCTGATGTACTGTCTCCCAGGTCCTGGTTTAGTCTGTTCTGCATCATGGTTCTAGAACATATAATTTTAGAGCATTAGACATATGGCTGGGCTTCTGTGGTGGCTCAGATGGTAAAGAATCTGCCTGCAGTGCCGGAGACCCGGGTTCAATCACTGAGTTGGGAAGATCCCCTGGAGAAGGGAATGGCAACCCACTCCAGCATTCTTGCCTGGAGAATCCCATGGATAGTGGAGCCTGGCAGGCTACAGTCCATGGGGTCACAAAGAGTAGGCCACGACTGAGAGCTAAAACACGCGCACGCACGTGCACACACACACACACACACACACACACACACACAGATATATGGCCACACATAATCCTGACTTCCAGCTAGCTGTGGCTGCCACATAGGGAAGAGGGCTGCAGTCAGTGGAACCTCTGGGTTCTGTTCTTTTCCCTTGTGGGGCTAACATATTCTGTAGCACCAAGAAAGCCCTTGGCAGAGAAAATCTGCTTTATATTCTGTTCTTTAAATGGCTTGCTTGGTTGTCCAGGGCTATTATCATAAAAATGGACTATGACTAAACAGATGTGCTACTAATGATAATACTAATTTAAAACATTTGCATAATGTTTACTGTATGCCAAGCATAAATTCAAAATGATTTAGATGCTTTATACTATTAAAGGATTATAGTTTTATACGGATAAATGATACTGTTAAACACCCTTTACATAAGAAATTAGGTTTAGGGAGAGTACATAACTTGCTAAAGTTTGCTTAACTGATGTATCCTGCTTTCAGATCCAGGCATTCTGACACAAAAACCCATAGTGTTTTATTGTTTTTTGTTTTTTTTTTTAGAGAATTCAGTGCTTCTAAAAATTTGGTTTTAAGTTTTTTTTCCCAAACTTACTCATTTTTAATGGAAGGAAAATTGCTTCCCAATATTGTGTTGGCCTCTGCCATTCATCAGCATGAGTCAGCCGTAGGAATACATGTTTCCCCTCCCTCTTGAAGCCCCCTCCAGCCTCTCACCCCTTCCCACCCCTCTAGGTTGTTATGAGTTCCCCGAGTCATCCAGCAAATTCCCGTTGGTTATCTGTTTTACACATGGTAGTATATATGCTTCCATGTGACTCTCCCCATTCGTCCCGCCACCTCCATCCCCTCACCACCGTAAGTCCTCCTCTGTGTCTGCAGCTACATAGTTGCTCTGTAGATAGGTTCATAAGTACCATCTTTCTAGATTCCATGTATATGTTTTTCTCTTTCTGACTTACTTCAGTCTGTATAATGGGGAACGCCTTTGAGTCAGTTCTCATGATGTGGATGAACATAGAGCCTATTATATAGGGTCTTAAGTTTTTATTTTTAAAGCTTAATATCTTTATTTACCTGGGCTTGTTCTCTCTAGCTATAACAGATTAGAGAAAAATATGATAACTTGCTGGTAAAATTAGTTATGCATTTTTTGCCTTTAAGCTGTACTAAATTAAAGTTCTGAAAAGATCTGTTTCTTTGTATTTCAAATAGAGTCACTTTTCAGAGGTTCAAGAGTTTAAATAGACTAGACTTCTGAAGTTTAGAGAGTATTAAGAGTTCTTTCTCCATTTTGGGGGAAATGCAATATATATTTAAATCTTGATTTTACTTTTGTGGAACAGGGGTCATAAACAGAAAGTGACTTTAATTTATATAAAGAAATAACCAAACACATCTACAGAATGACTTATATATTTAATCTATTATACCAACTGAATTAATAGTTCTTTGCATATTATAGATAAATATGAAGAAAACAATTATTCTAATACTGAAATGTGTCATGCAACAAATATACAATACTCTAAGCATTCTGTAGTACACATATTTTATGAAGTTTAATTTTTAATTGACAAATAGAATATATTTAAAGTGTACAAGCAAATTAATACTTATCTATCACATTACATAGTTACCTGTTTTTCTGGTATGAACACTTGAGATTTATTCTCAGCAAATTTCAAGTGTACAATATGGTATTATTAATCGTAGCCACTGTGCTGTAAGTCAAATCTGTCGAATTTATTCATCTTCTAACTAAAAGTTTGTAATTCTGTCAAGTTTAATTTTTAATAAAGCTACATAGATTACGCTTCTGGTATGGGGTAAAAACTACTACTGATAAATCTTACAGCTTTTTCAAAATGGAACATTTCTCAAAATGTTCTTTTTAATTGCAAAAGGTCTATCTATAACTAAATCTATTGAAGCTATTATTTGTACCAATGCTGAAGACTTAGATATATCTTTATTTATAAAATGCTTTGTTAATTTTACTCTCTAACTTTTGGTTATACAAGTAAAGTACAGCTATTCAAAATAAGCTTCTTGAATTTATTTTGAAGTGCCTGGTAGAGTATGCTTTAGATTTGAACAGAAACTCACTATTTGTTGGGCATTTGCTTTTTCTCCATCAATGTGGTAAGTGAAATAATAGAGTATAGAAGAACAATGTAATATATAAGCTTTAGTCTCCCAGCATTGGTTATTATTTTGAAATTAAAAAAAAATCAATTGAAAGTGCTAAAGGCAATTTTAAACTACATATTTTCCAAGTGTAAGCATACTGTATTTTCCAGGATTCTAGTAGTTCAGAAAATTGAAGGATCAACATGGGCTAGAAATTGTAGACAGTTTTTTAATTCAACAGTGAAGCTATTTGAAATCGTTGACTTTTATAAGGAGGAACAATTGCTTTATGTAATTTTCTAAAGTCAATTTTATTTTTATAAAATCTTGTTTTGAAGAAAGTTCAAAAGATGATTTTGACCAAGATTCTTTCAGTCTCCCTACAATATATCTAAGTAAATTTCTAATTTTGAAAATCCCATTCTGTTTTTGGAAAGCTCTAATTTTTATGAAGTTATTTCTCTTTTGAAATAGATTCCAGAGCCCACATTCTTTAACTACTAAATCAAGCTGGCTATTGGCATGGCTTCCCTGTATCCCATTTAAAGCTGGAAATTGAAATTAAATGTGGTGCTCCTGGGGTATGCAGTCTGTATTGGCTAAGTGGAAGTCTTAGCTTTGCTCAAAATATTACTCGCAATATTATTTAGGATGCAGTTACCTTGATTGTCTGCTGTGTGCTTAGTCGCTCAGTCGTGTCCGACTCTTTTGACCCCATGAGCTGTAATCTGCCGGGCTCCTCCATCCATGGAATTCTCCAGGCAAGAATACTGGAGTGGGTAGCCATTTCCTTCTCCAGGGGATCATCCTGACCCAAGAATCAAACCCTGGTCTCCTGCATTGCAGGCAGATTCTTTACCAACTGAGCTACGAGGGAAGCCCAGTTACCTTGATTATGCATACCTTTAGCTTAACCTAGTTTTTATTCTTTTTGCCTATGTATTTGATTTATTCCCATTAGTATTTATAAGCATTTCTATTGCCTGGCACCCCAAAAAAGAATATGTCATATACGCTAAACTCAATTTTTTTTTTCAGTGATTAAATGGATTTTTAAAATACATTATTTTTTTCCCTAGGAGATGAGTGGCATGGTAATTAAGAGCTTACATCACTTACTAGCTGTAGGACCTTGCCAGATAATTTGTCCTTTCTTTTTTATCCATTACATGGGATTAATAATAAAATATCTATATGATAGAGTTGTCTCATAGGTTT